TTTCAAGACTACTACTTATTTCGAAAAATATGCTATTTTTGTTAACTTTGAACCCTGATGATGATTAAATTTTTAATTCAATTTAGTCAGCCTTATTATTTTTAATTATCTTATGTAAATATTGTGTTTTGGATAGTATGAACATCTTGGTAAAGTACATTTCACAGATTATCAAGAGTGCAGCTGTTTTTCCAAGAAAGCCAAACAATTTTCAGAGACCGAATTGAAAAGTTATCAAAAATTTATGAAACGGTTATAATGAATCACACAATTCAATAAACAAACTAATTCGAAGGCATTGTTAAGTGCTGTTTCGGGAGAGCAGGCTATTTAGAGAACAATTGCCCGGTAAAGTGTGGACGATGGTAAGGGAAAAGAACAGAACAAACAACTCCAATACTGAATATCAGAAAATATACTTTATGTAAATTGCAAAGTTTAGCGGAAATTATGCAATTTGTTTTTAGTTAAAAACTGCATCAGATCACATAATTTCTAATTATTATATATTAATTTTTATTTAACTGATAGCTCTCGACTAGTGATGCAGTAAAATTATCCCAATGATGTTATGGTTTAAGCTGTAACCAGCTAAAGCTTATGTAGTAACTAGTCATTGAGATGATTCTATTGCATCATTACCTCGACTTCTCTACCAAGGAGCTTTCTTTCTCTTATTAAGGTCATTAAGGGCTTTCCTATGTACATATTACATTATTAACATGATATATCCTAAATGAATGCGTCACGAATTAGTTTATCTGCACTCAAAAAATATGTACCATGTTGGGTTCGGATAATCGCCCGAATGATAGTTCAGATGATTTCTTAAAAATCAAAGATTTGTCGATTTAAAAAAAAAATACATATATATTATACATAATATACATATTATTATATTTACTGTCGACAACTGTTTAGTCATTGATTCTTAATAAAACATATCAATTTTTATTAACAACCTTGTTTTTGCAACCAGTCCACTATAGAAAAAATTAAGATTGTATAAATTAATATTTCATATGTTTTACAATGTCTAAATAATGCTACAGGCTTCCGCTTTTGACATTCTAAAAACGATTTTTTTTAATCGCTGATTTTTTTTTGACGTTTTTTGACAGATTGTAATTGAATGGGTTTTTAACTTAAATGCTGCAAAACAATTCGTATGCCGATTTCTCAAATTATGTGGTTTTTTTTGCTTTTGTTCCCTTGTTAGCTGGATAAGTTCTGGTCAAGTGCATCGTGTTATTGATTTTTCTTGAAATTCATGAATTCGTTTCAAAGCATCCATCTTTAATATTAATGTTCACCGATTATCAATATTCCCGAAGTGATTTTAGGTTTTACTAGCCATCAAATATTTATTGACCGATGGAAATATTCGTTAGAGTAGGGTAGAAACTTCATATATCCAATAGTCTATTTAGGTTTTAATTTATATTGTAGCTTTATCTTGCAAAATAGTGAAGTAACAATTTACAATATTAAAATCTGTACCGGATATTTGCATAAATTAAATTGTAATTTATCTGATAATTGCATATAATGATTCAATTCGTAGAAACATCGGGCAATTTAGTAAACTTCCGATTTCTTAGAATAATTTCTTTGTCCGAAAGAGTTTTATTAATTTCCGATAAGTCCAATTAAAACATCATTGAAAAATGACCGATTACATTATGCTAAAATTTGTGCAATGAACTTAATTATTTGAGTGTCATTTAAAATAGTACTGTCAGACGCACGTTTTGGGGGTAAGGCTTGCACTTAGAGATAAATCATAGCACGGTTATTATCACGTAATAAATTTGACTGGTTAATGATCATGTGGATGCATTTACAGAGGATCTTTTATAAATGCACCCAAAAATTAGCGTGCAATTGCAGAATAAACATGCATTTATCTATAAGTCTCATTGCGAGCGCAAATTTTGTCATGCATTTGGGGAGGGCTGCACTTAGGGGAGTTGCATTTAGGATCTGACTGAATGTACAATTTAATTCGAATTCATTGTGACAATAATTCCGAGTAAACAAAGCATGATAGATAATAAACATTTTATTAATTTGTGGATCCTTATGATAAATAATCAAATTTTGTTAAATTCGTTGAAAACCCCCCCCCCAAAATTTGTTTTTTTGCATTTTATTTTAAATTTTGATTGTATCTAAATTATCCTGTATCATTATGGGATGTATTACGTCTAACTTAAGCGACAAAGCTGATTCTATCGATTCGCAGTCAGAATTTCAATACGTTGATGGTTAGAAGATTTCATAATGTAAAAAATTCCTCCTATCTCTAGCAAATAATGATGATGAACATTTTATGATAAGATATATTTGGCAAAGCAACTTTTCTGCTCCCATCGAACATATTATATCTAAATCAGGATCCAAAATTCTAGATGTTGGGTGCGTAAATGTTATGGTAGTTTTTGAGTGATACAAAAAATTAAAATTAAATTGATTGAAATAAATTTGGTAAATTTAAATTCAAGAACAATATATCATAGTTAAATTTTAAAGTGTGCATTTTGAAATTTTCTTTAATTGATTATTGATCTTATTAAATAAGTATAAGTGGATTAATCCGATAGGAATCACCAAAAGTTAAATTCAGTAAAACA